GACCTCCACTGGAGCTGGATCCATTCTGTGTTTGTGTAAGCTGATAAGTCTGGGGTTGACTCAGAGACTGTTGTTGTTGGATTTGAGTTAGCTGGCCATGTTCATCAATGCAGAAGGTGTAGGTACCTGGTGTAAGCGTCCTACTGCTTGCATTAGAGCTTCCCTGTTGCACCTGATTCCYTCGGTTGTTGTTGTTATTTCTCCGACTGTCTCCTTGGTAATTGTTACCCTTCCTGTTGAACAGGCACTCTCCCCAAGTATGCGCTCCATTGTGTTTCCTGCAGGGCTTTGCATTGATCTTCTTCTGTCTTTCCTCTTCATTGCTGGTGCCAGCGTTGTCATTATTTCTTCTTTGTTTCTTTCCATTTGTAGGCCTGTCTGAATCTGCCTTTGCAGCTCTTTTCCTAGACTGATTGTGTTGTTGCTCCTCATCCGCTATTCCTTTCTGGTCTGTCATATCGTATAGCRTTGGCCAGCAGAGGTACGATAATATCAGGGATTCTTTGCTATCTAATTACCGTGTAACGACTTGTGGGATTAAAAATTGGCTTGTACTGCAGTGTACCGGTACAGCGGGCAGGTGCTGAATTTTTGAATCCCACATTCTTCATGCAACCAAATAGCACCTGCAAAATAGTTTCACACGCACGTGCACGCTGTAGCCCTGGTACAAGTCAAATTTTTAATCCCACGAGTCATTACACAGTAAAAAGATGGCAAAAAATCCCAGCACAGTACAAAATACACCTAGAGGGTTAACTAGGGTACAACTCACTCGAACAGCCATAACTTTTTCCCCAACGGACGCTTAAGTATGATAAGCACATGGTTGAAAAGAGAATTGAAAGAGCTTTCTAGTAAAGCCGTGTGGGAGTACGGCTTCCGACTAATATACATTGATATACATGTACGTATATCTGTATTAAAAAATGTACGACAATTTCGGCCCGAAACACGTGGCCCACGCTATACGATACTGCACAATCTGCTCAATGGTGTTGTTGAGGATGTCTCTTCCACATCTGATATAGTCAATCTGCCAAGACYTGGGGAAGGATCTAAAGAGAATCTGCTTGATCTCTCTATCTGATAGTGGTTGCCTGATGCCATGAAGGATGTTGGCTCTGGCACAGCAGGTCTCAACTCTATCAGCATGGSCCTCACAAGAGCTAGYGTGRGGCTTCCTGATGGCATCTGATTGCAAGTATTCAATAGCTTCATCACGAGCTCTCTTAGATGGTGCATAAAACTTCCTGAAGGCAAGTAGTAGGGCTGTCTTCCACTGTGCCAAGTTGGTCCTCGGTATTTCCAATCTGTTTTTGTTCCACATACTGTTCCATTTCTGTCTTGGCCTGTGTGCAAGGACCATCTGCCACTTCTGGTCTATTTGTTCCTCCGGTAGTTCCAAATCCACTATTGCATCTTCAAAGTCTTCTTGTACATGAAATACTTCCTGCAYTCCATGCTCCCCGGAGAAGGCCAAGCAGTTCCTTGTTAATTTTCTCACTGGGCCTCGAAGGTTCACAGTAATGGAGACTGTCTTAAGCTGATTGAAGTTGTTTGTAAGGCTGAGACAGGATCTTAAATGTGAGTGTCAATGTTGTTTGGGAGAGGAGTTGGTGTTCTTKTTTGCATTTGATTTCACCATGGTTGATTCACTTATTTGGTGATTTTTCTTAAGGGCGGTTGATTAATTTGATACACGTCAAACGGGTAGTAATTACTGTGCACAAAATACATGTATTCTTAGTAAGTGAGTGTTTTAAGTGTGTATGAAATTGAATTATAACATTAAGATTATCACGAAGATTACCAAGCGCGTTCACAAGAATTCCAAAGTTCTGATTAGATCCTTGTGTAGATCTGGTACTGAATGTACATGAGGATTCTCCTATTCCGGACTCGTGACATCTTTGTTSTTYGTAAGGTTCTCAAATCGTACCTCGTATTCTTAGACATCTTGGTATGATGGATCGTATGATATATATGTATGAATATTACTCTATGATTTGTAGGTAAGAATGGTATGTCCATCCATTCTGAGGAAGTATCGCACCATGTACGTATGCTTCCAATACAGTACGTACGCTTCCAATACAGTACATACGTACGTATCCGTTGCAGAYATCCTCTGGACAGCAATTTTTTGACAACTTCATTTTTACTTCATACTACAACAACAACWACTACTATTGTTCATTTTTTAACAGTAAAATTGTAGAAAAAAATCCATCGATGTGAAAGAAAATGATATTTAGAATCCTCATGGAAAACTGGTGTAGAAAAAACAGTCAAAATTTMTAGGAGTATTACTATTAGTAGAATGCACAAAATACGTGTACTCTTAGTATGTTTAAGTGTGTATGAAATTTGAAATTATAATATTAGAATTATTCGTAGAATACCCAGCGCGTTCACAAGAATTCTGAAGTTCCGATTAGATCCTCATGTAGATCTKGTAGTGAATCTACATGAAGGTTCTTCTATTCTGGACTCGTGACATCTCTGTTCTTTGTGAGGTATTCTCGCACCTCGTATCTTGGACCTCTTAGGATCCTCAATATGATGGATCATATGATACATAGTATATAAGAATAGTACCTTACAATAGGTATGTAGGAATGGTACGTCCATCCATTCCGAGGGAGCATCCTTATACATATGCTCCCATATCTGATTTAATGTCGATTATTGGTACTAGCCTTCCCAGATCCCCTACTATGTAGAATTAATACTCATGACATGTGCTGGTAGGGCTACTACCACATGTCGACTATGTTTCTACCAATTATGTACTATGTTTCTACCTTAAATCAACCATGTTTTAACCTTAAGTCTACCAGGAAAAAGCTAGATAAATTTGACCTAAATAAAAATTGTTTCCCGGGACCCCCTATTTCTTCAATAGAGCYGTTGCGTACAAACACGTGCCATATGGTACCTTTTTGGGTTCGAATTAAGACGTGACAGCTTTTTAACRGTAGGGATTCTACAGGACTCTACGTGTGGAACAATAGTCTCAATTCAGACCACAACAGGCAAGCTGTCACTTAGTTCCATGTAGAACCAAAAAGGAACTATTTTGTACCGTACGGGGGATGCTGAAACTATGGAGATACCGTGGGAGGACACTGCTGCTACTGCTACTAGTACTACAGGAGAGGATGCTGATATGGACGCCATGCTGATACGGAGGACACTGATATGGATGCTGATATGAGCCGCTTATGGAGGACGCTTGCTGATATGGAGGACGCTGATATGATACAGATGCTTGCTGAGCTGAGCTGATATGATATGGAGGCTCGCTGATACAATTTTTCGTCGATTTCGCTACTGGTAGTTACAGTGCTGTTCCTCCAAAACCACTCAGTCGATCAACCCACAACTTTCAGAACCTTGAGCCCTTAATGTGAGGATTAGAACACTTGTCTTGTGAGCGCGATTGGTTGGATATTGATGAAGAACTAAAGAGGTGACAGCTGGCTATGCTGGAGGTTGTGTTAATTTTTTTCTAAAAATTTTCAGTGTGCAGAGAAATCAAGAAGCCCGAAAAAGTTTTCGAAAAAAAAAAGCAATGTGCACATCTATGTGAAGAGAAAAGAAAACCCTTTCCAACTGACGGATTCTCTAATTCTGATTGGTGCTTTGCTAGCGTTAACAAACAAGCAAAGATAGCTCAAAATTCGGGTGTTTTATTGTACTCATAACCTGTTAGAAATCAATRGTCTTAATTCGAACTCAAACAGGTACGAGTTTAACTTGAGTAAAATTACACCTAGAATTAACGCAGGAATTTTGGCCCACTACTACTGTAACTTCTGCATACTAGTTCTAAGCCACCAGAGCATCCTTAAGCATCCCAATGACCTGGATCACTAAGTAATTGTATTATCTTGGTCTGGGCGCTTAGTCTGGTGCTCTAAAGTTGTTTTTTGATAGAGTTCTGGCCTATTTTCTAACTAGCAGGCGCTCTTGTAAACCAGCCAATTTTGGCCATACCGGGTGTTAGTGGAGAATCGCCCTCCCCCCCTGGCCCCTAATGGTGTAACAATGACACATGGGGCTATTCCCAACACTATAAGGAAGCTTTTCCCCAAAGGGGATCTCATTACAACAAGCCTTTCCAGAGCTGTTGTGTTTAGCTTATTTTACCTCATTGAGCTGTTTGTAGTGGAAAAAGTGACCGAAAACTAGTAGATCTGTGTGGGACCAGTACTAAAATACGGTGCCCAAAATCAACCGTGATGCTACTAGTCATAATTTTTGGTGTTTGAATAGAATGCCTTTCTGCCCTGTAGGACGTGGTAGGGTTCATACGGTTAACGCATTTTACTCCGATTGAACTCGTAGTACAGTACTGTCTTTGTGTGCATACAGTACTGCAGGCGTGCTCCTTGCAGCAACAATCTACTGTAGTCGAACTAGTCGGACATCCAGTCGCTAAGCGTACGTGGGAATTCGATGTTTCAGAACGTCCCAGGGGGACATTTTCCAATTTACGACACACATGGAAAATGATTTTTGACTAGTCGCGCGCCCCTTTTTTATTTTGCCAAGTCTCAGACGAAAATTCGAGCCAAATTTTTTTACAACTAATAGTAGTACCGTACGGTACCTTGTACGTATGCACTCAATCGTATTCTACCGGTACGAATCACGACGAAGTGCTCGTGCTTCTCACGAACGAACCGAACAACATTACGTACCGTACCGGCCGGTACTTACATTAGTAGAAGACTGACTACGTAACGGCCGGTAGGAGTACTACACTTTTACGTAAAGGATTCGTACAGGTATTTTTTGTTAATGGGACGAAACAAACGATAAACTGATACGAAGCAGTACGTACTGTACTTGGTACCGTACGGTACAGTAGTATCTCAAGCACATCACAGTACCACAAGAAGCACTCTTTCTCTGACTTCACAGTAATCGTACCGCACTGTTGACCAATAGACAAGAATTTCCCTGGATAGTGCAATGCCTAACGCAAGAAACGAAAGTGYGTAGAAATCATATCAAGACGCAGCGTTCGAACAAAGTTGCAAGACCCGATCCAAAGACACCATTATTCGCGGAACAGGGGAGAGCTGAAGGAGATTTTTGAATCAGGTATGCCTCTGAATAGTGTTGTCCACCAGCTCCTTACTGGTAGAAAGCGAAAAGCTCATCATATTGGTACCATTCCCTGTACTGACGACAGCACTCATCGTCTTAACAYTGACGGTTGCGTTGGAAAAACGAGTGCAAGTAGCAGTAGAAAAAGCGTATCATCATTCCTCGCACCACAGAAAAATGAAAATGATAGTCGTTGGCAAATGCGTTTCCGCCATCGATACATACAGCGCTACCGTCGCTACGAACGGTTTGAGCACCAGAAACCACGAGTATCAATCCAAGCCTTCGAAAACTGGAGCGGCAGCGACATTCATCATGGTACGAGTACTAAAGAAGACAACAGCCGTTATGATTCTAATGAGGATGATGGAATGAMGTTTTACGAAAATCGACGACTAAGAAGTCAACAGGTACAAAAGATGAGAACRGGAACGAGAATGAAGAATTTGAGCAAGTCTGYTGATTCTCAAGATGATAAATGCTCTGTYCATGCTTTAATTGAAACTTTTTTGGACCAGCGCCATGGGACCAGGAAACGTCCATCGAAGGCATCAATTCATCCATGTCCTTCGTCTTTCGAGGACCGAAGAATATTATCAGTTCTACTTTTGGGACTATGTGCTCTTTCAAGTCTTACTGAGTGGTTAGATAAAAAACAAGAAGAGGACATTTTACGGAAGTCGTCTATTGTCAAAGATATGGTTTTATGGATGAAACAAAGGGAAGCGCTGCACATTGCACATACTTCTGCAGCTATTGCGCATAAACATCGTGACGCGTTGACCCAACTAGCAAAATTTCACGAGTCGATCGAAGGGAGCCATAGAACGTCTTTAGATTTTTTATCACGGCATGACGACAATGACGAGGAACGGCAAGGATCGGAACGTCAAACGAAACGTCAGAACAAAAATCGATCCCAAACAACACCGCAAGCTCAAGGATTATTTAGAGCCTTCAGATTACCGGTCCCGAATCGCCAGAACAATCACAATATCGAAGATCGTGACATCAATGTTCGTAATAAGAAGATTTGCGAAGACTTAATCCCGAACAAGAATGAGGACACACGTAACGAAGAGCATTCATACCTACTGACTCACCAACTGGATCTAAAGGACCATAGGATTATTGATACTGATACCATTATTGATCCTAATGTTAGAGTTAGCGAGACAAACAAAACTGAAATTGAAATAAGTGAAGAGAAGTATCAAACTAACGTGACATATCATTCTTCAATTTCGTCATCAGAGAAAAGACGACAGGAGAAAAATATTCAGGACCATCAACCTAAAAAATCATCGGTGGGTCAATCGATCGCTGAAATTCATCCAGAGCATGATCGCTTTTCATCTCCGCAGATGCAAGTTAGAAAAGAATCGGAAGAAGTAATCAAGAAGAGCGGAAAAAATAWATCAGTTGCTGATATCAATGGCTACAACAGTTGCGATGATAAGAAAAAAATCTCGCAACCCATCAGTTTGCCCTCCATGATTCATATAGATCCTTTAGGAATAACGTCACCGTCTAAGGACGATGAGGATTATTTTTTGATGTCACCGGCCACTGATTCACCAATAGATATACCATCTTCGACCGCTAAGACTTCGTCTTCTGAAATGAATATCGGACGAAAGAAGGAGCAGCGGCAATGCCTTAAAAAAGAAATCAAAGAAAGCGAGAATCTCCCTGATCTACTACCACAACGAACTTCGAGGGATCAAAGTGAATTTGACGTGATTTGTATTTCAGAAGAGCGAACAAATCATGAAGAAAATATCTTCGACAATTCCAATTATAGCGTTGTTCTACCATCGATTCAAATCAAAGAGAACCATTCCTCTCATCATAGCTCGATAGTAGGTACATTTCTCCCTATGTTACCGAAAGAAAAATCAGAAAAACAAGTAACCGGAGTTTCCAATATGAAAGCGGATACATCTGATCTAGGATGTCCAAAAGAGTTTCCATTGAGCAGAACAAGTGCAATCCAGCCGATGAAGTCTTACATAAGGAACGATTGCGACAGTGCGATGTTTTCTGCTCTAAGTGGAACTACTACTAACGAGACGGCTAAGCCCTATCAAGAACAAACAACGAAATCTACCGATAGAATAAATTCTACGGAGGATAACTCAGTACATCGAACAACAACAAGTTGTCCACCCAAATTCAAATTGTCGTGTCTGTATTCTGAAAAGAATTCTGTTGCCGAGGAAAGCAATCATGTTAGGTTTGACAACGAGGATAACGATCGAGAATCTGGCCAAAACTCACCATCCGATGACGTGAGCGAAATCCTTTTGTCTCAATCTCAAATGCYCCCTTTAAATTCTCGTCGTGTCACGACGAGTCCTCGGAGTTTCCCAAGCAGAAACTACAACAAAGTCCATGAACACTATGAACATTATTCCAAGGCATTTATGATTCAGGATGAAAGCAGATACCAAGAGGCCGCTAACGACAGTTTTAGAAAAMCCCCAAAAGAGCAAAAACCCCTTGGGTGGAATCGGTCCCATGAATTGCAGACTGAATCTATCAGCAGGGACTGGACGTCACATTGTACCAAACGGCCTATATCTTTGAAACAAACATGTATATTATCTTCTACCAACAGATGGGTGTCCAATGAACGAGCCAAAAATTTCGTAAAAAGTCAATTGTCCTCAAAAACCGCAGCAGCACTAGTCGCAACAGTGAAGGCAACTTCAAGTAGTTCGCACAAGCAGGAATACATAAAGCTTTTCACACGCAGAGACGGCGTCGACGATACAGCTCATACACTCAACAAAACTATTGGTCAGAACTACAAATTTGACCGTTCCGAGAGCAAGCAGGGTGTATCTAGTAAGATCGTTGCCATCGAASTTAAGAAAGAAAAATCTGAGAGGAAAACATCGACTAGGGGATTCRTTCGTTCAAATACATCAAAATTGGAAATCACTAAGGCGCCTGTTTTTGGAAATATGCGCAGGACTGCTGCCGTGAACGACAGAGATAATGACTCTGATGGTGTTTCAATCTCAGTCGTAGACAAACGAGGTGAGACCGATGAACTCAAGGATAATTTCAAGTATGAAGAAGTTGTTCGTGGAAAGATGGCGAGGGAAGCACTGAAATGCTACGAATGCGAGGAATGTGCTGCGTTTTTTGACAAGGCCGTCCTTCATGGTGATGGAGCCGATTGTTACAACAGAGAAGAATTGTTGAGTTGCAGCCGTCACAGAGGGCGGCACACTCCGCCTTCTACTCCTCAAGACTATTGGGAGCTGAGTTTCGTCGACGAAAGAGAGGCAAGATTAAGAAAACATGGAGATGATWATTGATATCCTTCCCATCATTTGCGTCACACCACTCGGATTGATGAGAAATATCCGTATTTTCCTATTCTATGCGCGTGRAGAGATTCAGAGGAAAATCCATGCCACGTAGACTTGTRATAATGCTCAGAAGCGTCGACAGTCGACAGTGTTTTGTAAATTTTTGACTTTTCTGAACAATAGACACTATTTACCTCTAGTTTCGATGGCAAAGTACATATGACCACCACCCCTACGGRTTGTCTTCGGTTCTAAAAAGTCTTTCCAAATCTCGTGTGACTGCACAGTATCTTCCGGTTGGAGTAGATCATTCTCGGCCACTCTTCGGAGTGGCATGACTTCYACCCCGCGTACAACGTCGTAAATTCTTGCGGTTTCGCGGTTGTCTATGGTATTAGTTGTAGCCTCAGTCTTTGGATTCTGTTCGTCAAAATCTGTAACATGTTTAATCATGTGAAGCATGTTGCCTAGATCTTGTGTCAGTGAAGTCTGATTATTGTCCATACTTCCAGAGACGTCAATTAAGGTCAGTCGGGCCAGTCGTTCTAACTCTCGTGTGGGAATAGGGTGATGAGAGGAAGTCAATTCTAGATTCAGAACGGACCAAGTCGACTTTGGAATACGATTCTTTATACCACTTGCGACTTGGATGGCAGTAGTGTTCGTTCTCCTTTCCATCTTATAGATCCCATTGTTAGCGCAGAGAAAATGGGATAGMTTTTTCCTACCGAAAAGTTGCAAGTGATAATTCGACTTGATAGCGCCGTCACAAATGAATCTTCGCCGATAACTCATCGGTACCGTCTTTGATGCTGTTGCTACTATCTTCACTCTTTCAGCCCGGACTGCGCTTTRCAGAGCGGCTAGTCAGAATGTTAAGAAAAAATGATGGGACTCAGTTCCGTCCATCAATTACAGAGAGGCGATCCGGTCTCGTGATGTTCCGGACTGTACTSGTACACGGGTATCTCTTCTGATCACTACAAGAACTGAATTGCTACTTTGCTCATCAAATACAGTACCCTACTGTAATGATTCATTCTTCGGGCCGGTAGAGTGTCGACTTAAAATTTGCAAAATGTCGAAAATTCCCAGGTCCCCTCTTTTCAGTTAGCACAACTCCAGTAACAGGTTACGGTTATCGCCCAACTAGTAATACTAGCGTACGCGTTTCGTAACAATTGAATACTGTACGGTATGGTCGCAAAAGAGAGCAAAAAGTAATAATTTCAAGTTCTCAACTTAAATTTGAAGTTATGAACTTTTGCTTGTACATCATGTACCAGGTTCTACTGAGCTRGTTTTTTTTWAAATGACTGCTGAATGGCTGAATAGATTCCCGGGCCCCCTCAAAACAAAAAAATTGGTTCAGGGCGATTGAGGTGATTCAAATCATGAATCCTGGCCTTTCAAACATGAATGCCATCCAAAAACTAGCTCAGTAGAACCTGGTAGACTTTTTGAAGTTCATACTAACTTCAAATCGAAGTTTAGAACTTGAAATTATTACTTTTTGCTCTCTTTTGCGACCATATTCAATTGTTACGAAACGCGTAGTAAACAAGTGGTTCCCATTGTTATGCCATCATTAGGGCAGTAGAATACAGTACAAAATCTACAGAAGTAGTTTTCAAATATTCTGGTGGCGCAGACCCAATTCTGCTTCTTTCTTAGTAGGCAAATCATGCTGAAAATATTGGGGAGCAACTGTCAGTAGAGCTCTGTAGCTAGTAGATTTTGTTCTGGAAAAATTAATGATGGCACCATTCAATTAATGATGGGAACCACTTTATTACTAGTAGTAGTACTAGTAGTTGTGGGACAACAATCAATTGTTGCTGGATTCATAGTACATCCTCCAGTCCACTAGTATATGTGTCATTGTGTCCCTRTTTTACTACTGGTCCTGAATATGTGTCATTGCAGTTGCTGGGCCTATGTAGGATTGTGTACATTAAGTACCAGGAACTTCCTTTGTCACTATTACTCTTATTTCAACTACTTGTTACTATCACTAATATGCTTGTTATTCTTCCTCAGCAGCAGCAAGARCTTTTCTCCCTGCTGCAATGCAGTCAGGCTTGCAAACAATCAAAACTGGGAGCACACCTGCAAGCATCAGGGTTCCTTTTCCACAATGGGGAAGCTTGTAGTCATTATCACCCTCAACACCATATGGGGGCCAGAACCATAGCTTTTGGTGGAAAGCATGCTTCTAGTCACTCCAAGGGGTGTTGCCTCCCTCTGAGGAGTTTTGATGGAGATGCGACCAGGGTTTTGGTTGGGCTGGGGAATTAATTGAAATATTTGTTCATAGTACTAGTTTGCATAGTACGGTTGGTTGTGGAGAGACCAAAGAAATCTTTGGTGATGCAGAGGGTTTGTGTCATTTCTTCTTGGAGTACGCGTCAAAGACCAGCCCATCTTGTGTGACACTCTCCAGTKGTTGTTTACTATGAGGCAAATGTGGAAAGTACTGAGTAATAGGGTGAGTGTTGGAGACAGAGGTGAGCAAAGCTTTGCTGACGCTGGCCAGTTGTAGACTTGATGGTAATATGTGAGCATGGAAGTAGATGTTGTTGATAAGAAAGTGTCCATATCCTCTGGAAATAGTTGAGCGTGTGATGGATGTATAGTGCCTCTTCTAGTTCATGAGGTTAAATATAATATTAAGATTTTTTTAAATCACCCTCAACACCAAGTGGGGCTTGCATACAAGCCTGCAGGTACAAAAACTTGTTATTCAAATTTTTGYGCTTGCACTCATCAAAGGGTTGCTTTACGTTTTGAATCAAATCATCAATCCCCTTTGATCCAATTGAAGAATCCAAGATCAAGAATGTTTGTGTCTGGACTTTTTYGTGGCTGCGTTTTTACACGAATATTCCACCCAGCACTTTCTGCAGCTTTTGCAACATTGTCTCTGATTGAAGGCTTGTGTGGCTTAGCACTATCCTTCCTGAATGAGTATCTCAGGAGGGGGACTCCTGTCAGCTCCTCTTGGCCACTTTTTGTAGATTGCAGGAAGCACTTCTTTGAGCAACTTTTACTTGTACACCTCACCATTTACATTCTGTGGCTTTGTGATTAGGGTTCCTCCTGAATGGTTGACRTAGTTTCTTTTTGCCAGTTCTTTCACCACAAAAGGCCAGATACCAATTTTTCCATCAAACCAAGCATTGCAATGCAAATCAAAACTTGGACAGGCTGTGACACACAAGAACATGACCTTCATCATATGGTTTTTAGATTTTGATGTAGTAGACTTCTTAGGTTCATCTTCATCAGCAAGCAGCAAGCAGATACGTTCTTTCCATAGTCCTCTTCAAGTAGAACCATTTTTATTGATATAAATACACTTGAACCAATYGATGAATCTTCCGCTACTTGCATCAATGTGACTCAATATCCATTCAACTCCTTGGAGTTTGTCTTCAGGAGTCAGTGGTGGTGGCTTTGTACTCCTGTTGTGCTTTAATGTTGTCACRCTTTACCATACAAATAAGAGATGTMTTTGGAATTCCARTTGAAGTAGAAAKACTTCTTAGATCACCTTGATCTTTCAGGGGGGCATTCTTTACAACCTCATCCAATCCTTCCAAATGCTTCAGTTTGCAACCAGAGTTGGATCTTCTAGATAGCACATAGGGCAAGTGATGGAATCCACAGTTTGCTTGTATTATTTCCAAACCCTAGCAATTGTCCTGATTGGTACATCATAGGTTGATGCTGCTTCCTTGAGGGCTCCCCTTTCCAGAATCAACCCTCCAGTAGAGCTTCTTTGATGATGATGCAAAAGATACTGAACAATGGCAAGTCTCTGATTGTTTGTCAAGTTCTTGCTCAGCTTTTTACTAAGAGGAGAGGTGTTCTGCTTGAATTGCTGCTAGTAGTATTTGGTGGAGAGTCACTGCTTGAGGAACTGCTGCTGCTGSTTGGTGAGGATGCTGCAGTATCATCAGCAGTAAGGAGTAGCCTTGATTCTGTAATCATTGAAAAGAAGAGTATGAGAATAGTGRGGAAGAGAGGAAATCAGGAGGTGTWCTTAAATCATGMGTGAAATGATCAMGTGAAAATAACACAGTGGCATGTTTGTACCATGTGTGACGCACAATTTCTTCCCAATTTTTCCCCTCTCACTGTGCTCTCCATCTCAAAAATTAAAGAACCCAAATGAAAACTGCATTTGCCTGAGKAGTTCTTTGCTCTCTCTAGTGACCCACAATGACTGCACAGGAACTACAGTATCATGGGCTGACAAAAGATAGCATTGAAAATGGAGATGCTTTCTTTTTTTATCAGTTCCTGCTCCCAATTGCTCCAGATTCAAAGGAAGCTCAACATTATCAAATTGARCCAGAGAAGAAGCTTCCTTATTAMATTAAGGTGATGAGACATACTTATGTGTATATCTCTGATGCCAATGAAGGGGAAGGACATCRAGCTAAACCTGTTCCACTACCTGAAGCAGTTCAGTTTGATGGCATCCATTTTTTACRTGGGGCTTGTGAAAGGGGAAGTGAAAACATCAAGTTTAGATGGGATYATTAGGACTTTTCATTCAATGAGGACATTGCAAACACTTTTTACTTGTAGCAGGTGGTATGATAWTAAAAGGAACTTGAAGCTTTGCAAGAACAGGACCTTTGGAGGGAGGTGTGAACCTGTTCATTATGATTTGGTTCTTCCATCCAACCCCTGGGTTCCCACTACCCCCTTTCTTATGGGCCAGAAGCACCAGTATCTTCTGGTCAAGATGTTRTTTTGAGATAATTAACAAGAGGACCACCAAACCCTTGATATGGTCAGGAGGTCAAAGCCAGCCTCCTAAAAAAAGAAAAAGAAAATCCAAAAGAAAAATAAAACTGACACAATTTTTCAACAAATTGGCCTGTCAGCAAACCAAAAGGAGCAGCTGTTTAGAGGACTGGGGATAAATTGATAAGATCTAGAGACTGCTATCAAGGATAGTTCCATTCTTCCAATAAAAGAAATCAGTATCATGAGGCTCAACAGTGGTATCTAAGTTCCAAGCTATTATGGGAACAGCAAAATAAGGATCTCCATGGCTACACGCTTTCTCAGAAGCAAGCAAAGCATYGACAGCGGGTGGTAACAAAAGTTATGACTTTATTTGAASTRAAACCACAGACCTGTCTGTCACATGCTCACCTATTCCCAGAGGATATGGACACTTTCTTATCAACAACATCTACTTCCATGCTCACATATTACCATCAAGTCTACAAGAAAACAATTCTGGCAAGTGTCAACAAAGCAAC